AGCCCTGAAAAGAAAGAATGGGGCCATAAAAGGCCTGTCAGACAGTGGAGAGGCCTTTGCTGTGCATTGATATCTTGCCTCCTACATTCCTGCTTGGTGGGTGTCCATGTCTGACCCCTGCCCAGGCGAACACAGAGAACCCGGCTCCCAGGAAGTCATCCCTCTGCAGTCCTTGCCTCAGAAGGGCCAGTTCTCCCCAGGTAGCAGAGGAAAGAGCAGGGGTTTAGAACCAGCCAGACTTGGGTTTGCATCCAAGCTCTACATTTATGACTGAGGAAATACTCTGAGTCTCAGTTTCCTCGTCTGTAAAAGCAAAAGGCTATGAGGACTCATGCCCCTGCCCCACCCAGCTTCTCCATATGTGCACTTTACTGCAACTTTGACCAGGCCAGGCCCTCTCCCACATGCCAGCCCTCCCTTCCCCAACAGACCCTAACCTTTCATTCATTTTCAAAGTCCCAACAATTAGCATTGCACCTGCAACAGTCACAGTAGCCACCATTTATTCATATCCTACTATGTACCAAGCATCATATTACTGTACATGAGGTAGATTTTATAGGCTCATTTTACTGATCAAGGAACTGTGCTAAGCAAGTTTCCCAGGATAACATATCCAAGCTCACAGTATGAAAATCTGTTCAAACCCAGGATTGCCTGGCTAAATTCCCAGTCTCTCCACTGTACTAGGCTGCTTCAGTGATAAAAGAAGAAATTCATAGAGTCATCAGTGGTGGACTTCATGAGAGAACAAACAAGTGAGTAAGTTTGCTTTTTTAAATTTTTTTTTTTTTTAAGAAACAAGATCTAGCTGTGTTGCCCAGCCGTGTCTGGAACTCCTGGCCTCATACGATTCTCCTGCCTCACCCTCCTAAAGCACTGGGATTTGAGTGAGTTTAAAATTAAGTGAATGACTGACTGGCAGACAGAAGAAATGAAGAAGCAGACAAAGTGACTTCCCCTGAGTAAATGAATGAGACCATGACTGAATCTATGACCACACTAGTCCGCCAACCCTGGCAAGGGTCAGGGATGACACAGCAGCAATTGGGATGGATGCAGGGATATGTCTAGACCCACAACTCCGCTGCGGGCTGTGCAGGATTTAATGAACCTCTTCCAGGTTAAAGGAAAGGAGAGAGAAGCTGCGCAACAGTGATGAATTTCACCAAATCCAGCACATTTCCCACTGCCAATTAATTAAGTGAACCTCAGTGAGTAAGCCAGGCCAGTAAATCAGGAGGGGAAGGCTGGAACTTCGATGTGATCTAATCAGGCCATGAACCATGCCTGGCAAGTAGGTGGCTGGCCAGAGCCCTGGGGAACTGCACTTCCCCACTCCACCTTCACTCACCTGTTACTCTGTGGTTTCTACAATCTGGCCTGTGCCTGGTCTTCACCACCTTCCATCCTCAACACTGATAATGGCCAACCTCACTGGAGCTTCTGTGTGCAGTGCTGAGCAGCCCAGGTCACAGTGGGTGGAAGGCGTGGGCAGGACCCAGAGAGGGGGATGTGGGTGAAGGGTGGTGGACATTAAGGCCCTCATGGGTATCTCTGGAACTTCTCACAACTTTGGAAGCAATATGACATGGAGGAAAAGAGCACAGACACTGGCCTCACAATATCAGATTTTAAGTCCTGGGTCTGCACAATGGTTAACAGCCCAGGCTGACTCTGGCCCAACAGAGCTGGAATTACATTACTGCCTGAAAGTCTCTGATTCTCCCTTTCTTCTGTAAGCAGTGGGGATATAACAGGATGGCAAGGAATAAATGACTTGAGGGAAGGAAGGGCTTAGCAAATTGCTTGGCCAAAGCAAGTATTTGTATATGTTAGTTATTGCTCTTCTCTTTGTGGTCATGACATCCTCCTTACCTGCTAGAACTGGGCTCGGCAAGAATTTTCTATAAATGGCCAGATAGTAAATATTTTTAGCTTTTCAGACTATATGGTCTCTGTTGCAACTATTCAGTTCTTCTGTTTTGGTATAAAGCACATAGAGAACACCCAAAAAAAATGGGTGTAGCTGTGTTCTCATAAAACTATAGGCTGAACTTTGAATTTCACATAATTTTTTATGGGACACAACATTTTATTCTTTTTCTGGTTTTTTTCCACCCATTTAAATTTTTTTTTAAAAAATCATTCTTAGCTCATGCGCCATACAAGGCAGACAGCAGGCTGAATTTAGCCCATGGACCATAATTTGCTACCTTCTAGACTAGAATGTAAGCTCCACGAAGACAAGGGGCTTTGTCTGTTTTGTTCGCTACCATACTCCCAGCACCTAAAACAGTGCCTGGCAAATAGCAGATAGTAAATAGTTGCTGAATGAATTACATAATGTATGATTTTGTGCAAGAAGTCACTTCACCTCTCTGGACGTCAGTTTTTTCATCCATACTATGGGGATACTTTCAAACTTGAAGCAAGCATCAAATGAAATTAGAATCCATGTGGAGTCACTTTGCAAGCACTACAACTGCTCTACAATATAGTTGTTATTTCTGATCACTCAGAGGCCCTTACCAGGGTAAGTCTTATTCCTCTTCAGTGCCTGGCACAGAGTAAATATTTCATGACTGTCTGTGTATTATAAGCAATCTCTGGCCTGGAGGAGAGAAATGTCCAGGTAAGCTACTATCCCTATGCCAGCTGGGAACGTGATAGGTTAGCACATTGGCCAGGAACAGCAAGGTGGTCTGGGGTTAAGCTGCAGGGACCTTTTCAGTTCTCTTAGAGGAACCATTAAACCAGCGAGGTTGAAACACACACTGGGTGTTGGACTATGGCAGATGGGGATCCAAATTCTGGCTCCAACACTTACTATGTTACTTAGGCAAGTCACTTAAACTGTCTGAGATTCCATTTACTTACCTTTAAGACGGAGAATAGTGCTCAGCTCACAAGGTTCTGGTGCATTAGTGAAAGGACACATGTAGTGGACTAGCTCAGCACCTGGCACATAGTAAGCCCGAGACTACAGCCATCTCTTTCTTCTTTTGCTCAGCTGGGCAGGGTCTGAATCCCAGGCTAGGGCCTGAGCCATCAGGACTAGGAAGGACACATTAAAGCACTCTGGCATTTGAGCAGCATCAGGTAGGTAAAAGGAAAAATGCCTCCGGGCTGTCCTAGCTGCACAAGTTTTCACCTCTAAACAAACAAACAAAAAGCTCTGTTGTTTTTCTTCCCCGAATTGAAAACTTCCTTCTGCACTGCAAGCTCACTAAACCCATACAATCTGCTGCTTTCGGAGGGCTGGTGATCCCAAGCGCCTTCTATTTTCTCCTCCCATACTCCCTGCCAACCAGACAGGAAAGGTGAGAAACAAACCCCATTTGGTCATTTGTACGCTATCAAAGGAAGAACAAGTTCTATGGGAGAACAGAGGGAATTATTCAGCACATGAAGTTGTGGATGCTCAATGCATTTCCTTTATCAAGTCCAACTGTCTGTCTGTCTTTCTCTCTCTCACCACCCACCCCACTCCTCTATTTTGCCATATAAGATACATAGCCTGTCTGTGCTCACATCATCAGACAGTGCACTGGAATGTAGATAAGTGTAATTGATTTCAGTCTTAGAAGACTCAGATTTTGCTTTTGGTTCTCTCATTCCATAACTATATGACCTTGAGCAAGTCACTTCTCTCCTCAGAACCTAGTAACCCAATGAATAGCACAATGAAGGAGTAAGCATGGATTTCTCATCTCCAAATCTAGTGCTTATAGCAACTAGATATGAAGACTTCCAACCCAGTGGGAAGGGGGCACTCTCTCCAAAGAGCTGGCACTAGCTCCTCTACTATCTCATTGTCACCTTAGGCAAATTACTTCCCCATTCTGACCATAGCCTTCTCATCTGTAAAACAGATTCCCTATCCATGCTCCATCCTTAGCTAAGAGCATCAATAAGTTCATGATTCTATGACCCTGTCCCAATAATATGAGTAGATTTGGAAGGAGGCAAGGTAGAAAGTAAGATGGCCATTTGTCTAGTAGTCCAGACCAAAGTGAGGAAGCTGAGGGTAGGGTGGAGTTATCTGTGCTGCTAGGACCAGACTGTGGGACATTGATGCCAAGGACAGCGAGCAGTTTGCTGGCTCCCATCCCCATTTACACCAACTCACAGGAACAGACTCAGATCCTACCCCAAATCCTGCAGGCACCACCATAGTATGAGGACATACCATGCTTTTCCACTTTTCTATAAGAATTTTCAGCATCTTTCCTGGAAACTTGGTTGGGAAACCCCAGACTTCAGCCCCCGCCTCCCCAGCCCTCATGGCTGGACTCCCTGAGAGCCTATCCAAAAGCTCAGACTCACTCATGTCTGGGTAGAGGAGTAGCCTCAGCCCCACAACCAGGGCAGGGGTCTGGGTGGCTGGAATTAGTTATGTCACCATAGGTTATTCTTGAAGAGAAGCACTAGGGCCTGTCAGATCACCACATTCATTCTCTAACCCAACCCTACTCCCATGTCATCTTGGCCCAGTGAACTCTTGGACTGGGGTTCCCACCTCCATCACCCAAGCCCACTGGTCTTTAGTGAAGAGTAGCCCCACCTGCTTTTCCAAGCACCCAGTGCTGCCCTACTCTTGCCCACTCTCTCACCCCAGGACCTGGATCCTCTTCTGTATTCAAGAGGCCTGTTGTGGATGAAGAATCAACCACCCTGAACCCCAACATCACCCCACTGACTTGCCTGCCTCCCAGCATGTTCCACCCCACAGGAGTCTCCCCAGTAGTCACCCCCTCCCCAGAAGTGCTGAGTGTCCCTTTGAGCCCTGCCTTTCCTAGTCAGGCTCCTCAGTCCCCATCTCTTTCACCTCTTTACCAACCCCCATAGTCCAGGTCCCAGCAGCCCTAACCGAATGGTGCCTGGGAAAAGGACTACCTGGGGCACTTGCTCCATGGTACAAATGGCCACCATGAAGCCTGTCCCTCACCCCCACCCGGCTCAAGGACCTCAGGCACCACCCAGCCAGCAGTCTTTACCTTCTCCAGCTGGTGGACACCCTCTTCCACGCAGCAGATGGAGGCCAGTGTGCGGAGCGCCTGGGGGTACAAGCACCGGAAACTGTCCTGCCGGCAAACCTTGAAGAGTGCCACGACCCCACCCTCCTGCCAAGAGAAAGAAATGTTACATCATCTTCCCTGTCTGGGGCTAACTCAAGAATAAGTGACATCCCTCATTCACCTATTATGCTTTTGGGTCCTCCCTGCATCCAGCAATCCCCACCTCACACACAATCACACACGCTCACATGCTCACATGTACACTACAGTGAAATGCTGGCTCCACAAATAATGTCACTCTTCATAATCCAAGCTGCAGATGGGATACCCTAAATGCTTCTAGGGCTTGCGAGCCAGGGGTGTGAGGCAGGCATATTCACTAGCGCTGGTGATCAGCACCCTTCAACAGGGTTCTCAAACATGTGGCAACTCCCCTGGAGCAGACCCCCATAGTGCAGGTCTGCAGTCACAGGAAACAGGTCCTAGAAACCAATCAGGGGAAGGTGGAAAGAACTGACTGGATGCCCAGAGCTGGTTCTCCCTCTGCCAACAATCACCATGCTATTCCTTAGATCCTTCTGACTGCTGCAGGAGGCAGGCAAAAAAAAAAAATAAGTTTTATTTATATTAGTACTACCATTTCCTCACATTATTTTATTGAAAAAACTGAAGTCTAGATGGGTTCACATTATCATTTTCTCTCATTTACTCGTGTGTGTGTGTGTGTGTGTGTGTGTGTGTGTGTGTATAATAACCCTTTTAAAAACAATCATCCCAGCTCTTGGGTGTGATGAGCATATACTTTTCCTTTTATGAGAGCTATTTATGGAAACTTCTTTCTAGTAAAGTGCTCATCATAGGCAAGAATCTGAGAGTGTGGAGCTCATTGTCCAGGGGCCCTGCTAACTAGTCAGACTTATTCATAATAATCACCAGAGGCCACCTTAACTCTTGGAGCAAAGTAAGCCAAGAGATCACTACAGTGGCTAATCAAGGTGCCCAGCAAACCAGTGGCAACACTACCTGGGGCATCCAGAGTGGTAGGAATTGGATACCCCACATCTAGCTTTGCCTAGATCTCTCTCTCTCTCTCTCTCTCTCTCTCTCTCCTACCTTGAAGGCAGGCAGGGTGCCTAGGGTTGGCAGCAGTAAATAATGCATGAGCAACTGATCTGAACTGGGTCCCTCAGGGCACTCACTTTTAACCTCATCACTTCTGGGACTAACCTCCTTGCACCGGTTCCCAAAACTGAGCAAAATGTTACAGGAAGAAGGCAAGTTCAGCAAAAGACCACACTCTATCAGATTTTTGAGAACTCTGGCAACAAAACACATACTATGTGCCAGGCTCAGTTTCATGTGTGCTGAGGACACAGCGGTGAATGACTGATAAAACAATGAATGGGAAATTTAAAGAAACTCAGCACAGGTTCACCAAAATAGCTAAATCCCGGATCTTCCCTTCCCCTCCACTCCAAAATGATAGACTCATGGGCGCTTTTCATTCTGAAAGTTTTGCTGCTGATCACTTGAGGGATCAAGATGAAGGTATCCAACTCGGGGAGTTCATAATTTCTGACATTTTAGAACCAGCTAAGAGTGATCACAACTTTTATATTCCCTTCGGGGTGGCTGAATTCCCCTCATTTCTTTTGGTGTGAAAGGGCATAGCTTAGGGCTGGTACATTCATTCATGCATTCAAAAATGTTAATGGTTTATTATATGCCAGACATCATGCTGGACACTGAGCAAGACTGCTTCGGTCCTGTCCATACTGAACTCATGGTCTCATAGGGAAGGCAGATGACTTTAAAAGTAGATACAAAGCTGGGTAAAGAAGCAATGGCATGTGGTTGGGGGTGCAGGGAGGGTTAAGGGAGCACAGAGCAGGAGCCCCTAACATGCTCAGAGGGTGGAGGGTTGTAAAAGGGTCAAGACAGAACCATTCTGATTTTAAATGCACATAATTACTCCACTAAAAGACAGACACTTACCCCTCTGATTTCTTGTTCCGCAACCTTTACTCCTGCCTTCCTACTTTTCCATGACCCCTGGGCCAACTGCATGAGGGTTCTACATACAGATCTCACTCAGAAAATCACTGAAGCAAAACCAGGTTATTCTTCAAAACAAGAAGAAAAGAAATAGAACCTAACCTTTCCTCAGCCAGTCCTGCTGGTCACAACTGGCCTTCCTCCAGATGTAAATATATATCTATATATTTACATATTAGATACATATTTATGTATGTATCTAATGTGTGCGCTTATATTGAATTATATTGTATAAATCATTTACATACTGTATATTATATAAATTATAAATCTACATATTGTATAAACCATATTATATTATTTCTATATATATGTAGATAGATGAGAGAGAGAGATGACTGATTGACAGACATTTACATCTGCAGCAGACAATGAAGAAACAGTGCCAAAGAACATGCGTGAGGCCTGAGCCAGAATGAATGTGGCAGCCCTCCTTTGGCTCAGGAGGTACTGAGCCCAGCACAACTATATTTAAGCTTCTGCATGCATTTGCATTGGAGTCTCATTACATCTCTCTCAAGTCTAAGAAAAATGGCCTTCTTAGCATTTTTAGCTACCAGGAAAGGGAGGGGGAAATTCCTGGATCCAAAAGAAGGACATTCTAGTCTAAATCCTGGCTTTGATGCTGGTTGTGTTAGACTAAAAATGGGCTACAATAGCTATATGTCAGCTTTGCGGGGTGCAGTTGAGTTAGTGCATGTGGAAAGGCCTACTACCTGGCTCTGGACGGTGGGTAAGGGTCAGGCTATGTGAGGCTTCCTGGTTAGAAGAGTGTCTCATACTCTCATGAAAGGGACCCTAAGGGCTAGGATATGTGGGAGGAGAGAGGAAGAAGGAAGCCATAGAGGAAATAAGATGGATTGGTCTTGAGGACCACTCTGGAGCCCCCATTCAAGATCTAAGTGCAGCACTCATCCTGGAGTGAAGCTGGGAATGGCCTGAGCTAGCAGAATCACACTGTTGGCTGAAGCTTGTTTAATTTTATAGAAAGCTCTGGCCCAGAGCCCAGCCACATAACAGTATGAATTATTCAGAGAGATTTGGGATGAACTGTCATAAAGTGGAAAGAAATCACTTGTGGGGAGTGTGGGCTGCTGGTGGAGGGAATAACAGAGGAGTTATTGGTGGTAGGGGGATAATTTTGATGAAGCCCAGAGGAGTTTTCTGTGCCCCACACAGGGGAAGGGATGGGGTTTGCCACCATCATCATAGAGAGGTCTGTGCTTATTCTTTAGCCTTCAGAGGAACCCAAGAAGTTGAGAGGAGAAGCCTCAGATAGGTTGCCCAAGTTCTCTCCCAGAAGCAGCTCCAATAGATGAAGGGCCCAAACCAACACTACAGCAGACCCCAAAGAGGCGGATAAGGACGGCCACTAGGTCACTGCCCCACATTGTCGCAACATTGGGTACATTTAAGGTGAGGATGCTGTCCAGTGCTTGTTGGAGACTCCCAACTCCTACTTCACAGTCAGAACTGGAAACCCAAAATGATTCTGTGGGAGGAATTAGTCTCCCATCTTCTCCCAAAGAGAAGATTCAGGAACTCCCTTTTCCAGCCCAGAAAGATGGGATGGAAAGATGAACTGGAAAGATGGAAGTCCTCCCTGAATCTTCTCTCTGCTTCAACACTCTGTCTACTCTACCCCTTGGACCCTAAACATCAGATCAAAAGGTTGAGATTAAGTTTCTGGAATCTACAGACCTGGGTAAAATCCCAGCTCTGCTCGAATAAATTATGTCCTTTCTGCAACTCTGTTTCTTCAGTTTCGAAATGAGAATTACAACATATTGAAAGACTGTCGGAGCATCAGATGAGATGGTGAATGGAAAGCATAGAACCATGCTTGAGTAAACAATGGGCATGGAAGGTGGGTAGGAGGAAGGAAAAGAATGGGGAGGAAGGTGGGAGGAAGAAGAAGAGGAGGGGCTGCTGAGAAGCAGTTCAAAACAGTAACCAGGCTCATAGCCTTTGCTGCCCAATAGCCAGGTACAAATGCCAGTTCAGACACTTACTAGCTGTGGACCTCTTTGCTGTCTTAGGTCCCCAATCTGGAAAAGGAGGGTAGATCCTGCTTACCACAGAGGATTGTTGGGAGGTTCACATATGTTGTTTGTATAAAGCCCTTAGAACATTATCTGGCACAAAGTGGGTGCCATAAAAATAAATTTATTATTACTACTGCTAATACAGATGTCATCACCACCACCATCATCAGAGTTGATCACTTCTGGCTTCAGAAAGCTCAGATTCTCCCATTCATCCCCGACTCCTGTCAGTGCCTCCCAATTTTAGCCTCCACCAGCCTTATATGCAGAGCAAGCAAGCTGATCACTGTGCAGTGGACCAGAAGCAGAGAAAGAGGAAATACTGATTAAGAGGGAGACAGATTTGTTGTAGCAGAGTTTTGTCGGGAAAGGGAAAGACTCTAAGTTTTAACCAACTGAGCTGGTGAAATGGAAATAGCACTGACTCCAGAGCTGGACAAATTTGGTTTTAAGAGTCAACTGCTCAAGGTATTCAACCACTGTGTGTCCTGGAGTTCTAACCTGTAAAAGAGGGTCACTGATACACTTCTCAGAGGGGTACATGTGGACAAGATACAACAACTGTGTGAAAGTCCCTGCACAGGGCCTGGACACATAGAATACCACCAATAAATAGTAATTATCATCATTGTTGTTGTTAATATTCAATGAGATTCAAGTATCTCTCTTGGCAGGCTCTGGAGAGTATGGCCCATGTAAATAACCAAAAGATCATTCCAAATCTTTAACAACTCCTGGTCATGGCACTTGAGAGCCCAGGGGAGTGTTAGGAGCATGCAAGATCTCTGAGTAGCCAAGGAGGGGATGGAACAGGTGAGAAGCCTGTGGACAGAAATGAAGGAAGTGATAACTAAATGTGGAAAATAGTTCACCTTAGCCTTGTGTTTTAAGACAGAACAGGATAAAAGTGAAATTGCATCCTTATTTTTCCCATGAAAACACTGGGAAAGTCCAGCAGCATGGTAGATTTGGAAGGTGTCTTTTTTTTTTTGAGACGGAGTTTCGCTCTTATTACCCAGGCTAGAGTGCAATGGCACGATCTCGGCTCACCACACCCTCCGCCTCCTGGGTTCAGGCAATTCTGCTGCCTCAGCCTCCTGAGTAGCTGGGATTACAGGCACGCGCCACCATGCCCAACTAATTTTTTGTATTTTTAGTAGAGACGGGGTTTCACCATGTTGACCAGGATGGTCTCGATCTCTTGACCTTGTGATCCACCCACCTCAGCCTCCCAAAGTGCTGGGATTACAGGCGTGAGCCACCGCGCCCAACCAGGTGTCTTAAATATACAGTCCAGCATCCTCAGGCCACAAAGGAGGAGTAAATCCCCAGTGGTCTGGCCAACCTCCTTCGGTGAGCTAGTGGCAGAGCTGGGATGAGAGCTGCCCTCTTGTCCCAACACAGGCCTTTTCCCTGCTTTCTACAACTGGAAATGTTTGGGATAATGTTTAACTAGAGGTAAGGCCTGGTCCTGACGGGACTGACTCTGCAGGAGGCCAAACATCATCTTGACGTACAACCAAATGCATGTCCCCTCTCTGCTTTCCTGAATATGAAGCACAAATGCAGGCAGGTGGTAGGAGCTGTCTATATCAAGTGGCACATGGAAACAGACCTTGAGTGCCCAGGTCCTGAAAAAGAACACCCAGAGCTTCAGAGCTCCTGACCAGCAAAGTTTCCTTCCCCGGAAACTTCTAAGGCCCATTCTTTACAAAACATAAAACATCTTCAGACCCCATGCACCATTCAGAAGAAGTCCTTTTCCCACCCAGACCTCAGATCCATACAGAGAACCCAAACCTAGCATGTGTTTGCAACTTAAAAGGGAAAAATGATCACGGTTACAAAAGAAATTCATCTACTTACTGTTTAGAGTTAATCATTAAACTAATGTTGAGTCAGTTTCAACTCAGAGGCTGGAACTGTTTGCTGTTCCCCCACAGCACCAAGACAAAAATCTACAGTCAGCATTCTTGACTAAGTTAAATATTGAGTTACAGAAGCCTTGGAGAAATCAGATCCAATGCTACCTCTTCCAACCCCTTCGCCCCAACATGACCACAGTTCTTCAGGTTAAATACATGTAAATGACTCCCAAAAGAGAGTAGAGGTCCTCAAATAATTTAGCACAGTAGAATCACTTGGAAAGCTAAAATACTCATCCCGGGACCCACTCCAGACCAATTAAATCAGAATCCAAAAAAAGCTCCCTAGTAGTTGTAATGTGTATCCAGGATTGAGAACTCCTGAGTCACACTTTGGCTCAAGGACCTGAAGGGTCAAGAATTGAACCAGAAGTCACCACTGTGGTATTTAGGACCATGAACTCTGAATTAAAATTAAAGAGACTGGGGTTCAATTCTGTCTCTACTCCTTGTCAGCTGCATGATCTGGAATAAGCTCCTTAAATCATTTCCTCAACTATTGATGGAATGACCTTCTTTATAGAATGGTCTCATGACTTAAAAGAAATGAAGTATGTAATGCATTAAGGACAGAACACAGCAACACTCAAATGCCAGCTATTGCTATTACATACAATTCACTTCTCCACTCGCAAGAGTTGACAAGCATTCACCCTGCTCTACTCTTAAGATTGCTTTAAGGGCTTAGATCAGTGATACTAAGAGTCTGGCCATGCTTCAGAATTACTTGTAGGGCTTGTTAAAATGAAAACTCTTAGGTGTTACCCAAGGACCCCAGGAAATCTTGGGAAGGGCAAAAGTATCTGTGTTTTCCACAAACTCCCTGAGGGACTGTGATACAGAATGGGCACTGGGAACCACTGTTTCTGGGGCATCTTCCTGTGACTAGCAACTTAAGCAAACTTATTGAAAGGCATAACTTTGCTACCAATTAGATCCCTGGTTCTGTCTCTGATGATGATGTCACATCTCAAGTGAAAAGGGAGAATGGAAACAGGGAATAAAAGGCCTTACTGAGGTGCTAAGGCTACCAGTTACCTATATTTGCTCTAAGTGTCTTGAAGCCAAGTTCAGGGGCAAGTTAACCAGGAAGCTGATGAGTTACAACTCCCATTGTAATTAATGAAAAGCACCATCCTTTTTGATTTAGTCTTCTCCAAGTGCAGTATTGGAGTGGCAGCAGGCATTTTTCAGATCCAGCGATGAAGCTGAGTGTGAGAGACATGCTTGGTTTGAGTTTAGTAGGATATGTTAATGTGTTTGGCATTGCTTTCTCATGTAGGTAAATTATTGTAAACCAACCTGGTATAGAATTGCCTTTTAGAAATATTCCTGAATAATTTTCTTGTTCTAAATACCCACTTTGAATTCATAACTCTACAATCTTTTACTTAAGTAAGGCCCCAATAATTCTATAAGCTTCTGTCCTCACAAATCCAAGACCCACTTCCAGACATATAAGTGCAATGAATCCTTTGGAATCAAAGTTCACAATTTGAATACCTTCAATTCAACTTGCTAGGTATATGGTCTTTAGCAAGTTATTTACTTTCTCTGTTCCTCATTGTCTTCATTTGTATAAAATGTTAGTACCACCCTCCTCACAGAATCATAAGAATTACATGAGATCTCATTGATATAGTGTCAGAAATATAATAGAATCAAATATATGTGAATTCTCTTCCAATATATATTAACCTAGCCTGAGTATAAATGTTGTTAGGGAGTACCATACCAGCTTTGTAGCTCTCAAAGTGTAGTAATCTGAGAGCTTGACTGAGAACCGGGGGCATGAGAGATAAGGGGGGTTATTTAAAAACTTCACACCCGGTGAATCTGTTTCTGGACACAGGATAACCCATTGGATTCTCAGCAGCCCCTCAGAACCCCCTACCAAAGTTGAAGGTCAAATGAACTTCAGTTTCCTCTCAACTCTCAGAAATTTTGGATCTATGAATTTTTAACTTTCTCATTCAACAAATTCTTTGAGTACCCACTTTGTGCAGACATTGCACTAGGCACTAAAGACAGAGATGATTCAGATGTTTCTATCCTTAAAAAGCACACAGCTTAAAACACATAGCAAAACAGAATATGGTAAGTGCTGAGACAGTGCCTGCTATTCTTTTTAGACATCACAGGTGGGAGGGTGTCTGGAAAGCAATACAGAAGAACACAGAGTTGAGCGTGGGATGCTGAGTAAGAGTTTTCCAAGTGGCAAAAGAGAGAAAGACGTTCAAATCACAAAGACAACAGGTGTGAAGGCCATAACTTATGTCCTTGTCCTTCCTCTGATTTCTCCTCAGACAAGCAGCTGGGACAGCCACAGCCACCCCAGCCTATGGCCAGAATGTAGGACCCAACCAACAGAGAGAGCCAGAGGAGAGAGGGAGGCTGTCTCTGGGCTCCTCTTCAGCCTGGGAGAGGGAGAAACTGATAGGAAGGCCTGAAAGGATGCCAACAGAATTGAGATGCATTACTTGAATCAAGTCTGCTTTGAAGTTTAGCCTGCATTCTTCCCCCTTCTTGTATTCCTTGAGCAAATCCTTACATTTTATTTTGTTCAGAGAACTGTATAGCCTCCTTCTGGTGGGGGGCGGAATAGGAAAGCTTAGGACAGGCAGAGACTGTATTTCAGAGCCCATCTTGTCTTAATGCATGCTGAACAGGGGCCAGTGTCTTTGGTGACAAAACAGATTCTCCTCCTGCTTTTCCAGGGATCATAGGCAGATGCTGAGGTTCACAAGATTCTAAAGGGACATAAAAAGGTACTGAGAGCACTGGATGGGAACCCAGAAAACAAATGCCTCTGAGTTTGTGGCAAAGGTCATGTTTGTAGACCTGTTCCTCCTCTTTCTCCTGCTAATGCTACTGCTAATTATTATGGGGTGTATGTTGTTATGGCAGCAGCATTAAGAAATGTGGATAGAGTTTAAGCTATACACACATCTATATGAAAAAAATAACCTTTTCTTTGAACTGTGTTGGAGACAGCCCATGTCTTACAACCGTGATGTCAGGGAGACACATAAGGTCAATAGATCACCCAAAATGCCACATGCCAGATGGTCTCTTTATTCAGTAAATCACCACATCCCACAGACCTCAGGACACCACAGCTACCAGGAAGGGAAGGATGTGTGGAGATGGAGAAGGAGGGTTAATATTTATAACATACACTACAAAAACAAAGATGATAGAGGCTCTGAGGGCACCAGATTTCTGTCTCAAGTGTGAAATGAAATCAGCGGGGCTAGCCTGCCACCTATTAAAAATGGAGACACCAAGGCCCAGATAGGATAGGTGACTCTCCCAAGGTCACACAGCAAGCTAATGCAGGGGCCAAGATAGCCCTCCTTAGCCAGCCATTCCCATTGAACAAGTGAGCTTCCTCGTACTTCCCCAGGCCTGCCGTTTTGGCCCCTAACCATGAAGCTCACCTTGGCTATGATGCGGCACAAAGGAGCCCCCTCCTGGGTCAGGCTGAACAGGTTCCCTGTGGTGGACTCTGTGGTGTAGATATTGTCTGAGGCATCAATTTTTCTCACCAGTGCCTAAGGAGAGAGAGAAAAGTTAGCTAGTTACTCACCACCTCTACCCTCTGCTCATTTTAATGGAACACCAGTGGGCCCATGCTCCTAATCATAACCATGGAATCTACTCCTGCCCCTATCCACTGCCCCATTGTGAGGGCAATGAGGTTCTAGTTTTGGGAAAGGTATCAGTCAAGGTAAAGTCTAAGCTATATTTTAGAGATATGGGATCATTTAAAACCCCTGGGAGATGGGCAATAATTAGCCTTGTCCTAGCCCCTCAGAAAATCAGTCCCCAACATTAATGGGCTCAGAAAATACTATTTGCTTCTAAAGAGAACATAAATCATCAGTTAAATTAACAAACCATGAAGTTGAAAGCCAATGAGTGGCTATAGCTATGACCAAAGATTTGCTCATTTTGAACGCCTATTAGCCAACGGTGAACTCCAGCTGAGTGATGGGTTCAAGGGTTAAGTCCAGAGAAGTATTCCACAGTAGTTTACTGCTTGAGGGATATTTTTCCTTGGACATTTGCCCTCTCCAGTAGTTTATTGTTGGGGAGTATGGCCAAAACGAAATAGCAACACTGGGAATCCTGTCAAAGGGTGTGTAATGAGGTGAGGAATGTCACACTGATCAAGGCTGAAGAACCTGAGGGTAGCGGTGAGAGGCGCTGGAAATGACTGAATATAAGACCAAGGGAGATTCGGGAAGGAAAGCAAATGAAAGATTCATTAACAAATACGATACGAAGATTATTTCTAGAAAAGTTTAGCTAATTTCTGGGGGAACGTTTTTTATATAACTTGAAACCACTTCATTATCAGCCATTTGCTTTGGAGCCTGTGATTCATTGATTATAAAGGATTCCTTCCTGCGAATTAAGGCCAGTAGCTTAAGTTTCTCCTAGAAAGAATGAAGATAGAGACTGGGAAGAGCAATCTATGAGGGCCTCATGCAAGAAAGTAAGATCTCCAGACCTGGGTGCTCTGAGCAGCCACTTATGCGGTTTCAGTTGCCAGGTTTATTTTAAAACATTAAAGTGAAATCTATTTTTAATTAAACACTGGTGTTATGGAAAAGACACTTAAGAGCAACACTTGGAGCAGCTTAGCCTTTCTTTGCCTCAGTTTCCTCATCTATAAAGTGGTGTAAAAATAAGCTGGCTGCAGTGGTACATCCCTATAAGTCTCAGCTACCTGGAAGACTGAGGCAGGGGGTATGGCCAAGTCCAGGAGTTCAAGAATAGCCTGGGCAATATAGCAAGACCCCCATCTCAAATAAATAAATAACCAAAATGGTGTAAATAACAATTTCTATCTTTTAAGGGAGTTGTGTCTATTTTTAAGGTTGTCAGTATATTATAAAGGACTTCTAATGGTACCTGCTAGGTGAAGGCAAAATAAAATTGTAAGCAGTTATAAGTTTGTGATCTTGTGCAGTTAAGATAAGCTCCTTATACTCTGGTTGCCCTGTTTGTAAAATGATTAAAATTAAGAGGTTTGAGGCTCAAGGTAAATTACTCTCCCTTTTGTCTTCTTTATTCAAATTTATGAAATTCTTCACACACATGCATTATGCTAATCTAGATACAGCAGTCTAAGATTAAGTGTGTATTTAATCTAACTACATTAAATATAAAAATTATGCTCTAAGTTTTGATAGAGATTCAACCTCTTGTTAGAGATTCAACAAAAGGTAAAATTAATAAGCAAGATTTGTCACTACAAATCTCTGTAATAATCACACTTCTTAGAATTCTTCCCCACCATTACCATAAGTACCACACGTGTGATACTAATGCTCACATGAAAATGCAGATTTCACATATTGGGGTCCTGTACCTAAATGATAATTACCTAATGTTCCTGATTAGTGTTTGCACTTGAAGCAAATTAGCATTACATTAAACAATTCAAACCCAATGTCTTTTGCAATCAGCTGCTAATATTAGACAATTTAAATCTGAGAATAATTTTATGTTAATGTCTATACACATATATACAGTAATTATACCTCAGATATGGCTCAGTGAATAAGATCTCTAACAAAGAAAAGTTGTAAGCATCCTTTCCACAGTGTAAATCTGGAAAGATGAAATCAAAGATGCCACTGAAATCTTCAAGGCCCTAAATAACACCATATGTCAGAGCTGGAAAGAACCTCAGAAATAATCTGTCCAGTCTTCATTTTGTAGTGGAAGAAACAGACGTAGACCTGACTAAGGTTACAAATATGGTCTATGGAGGAGTTGGGCCCTGACTCCTCTGAATTCAATGTCCCATTTTTGAAGGTCAGTAAATCCATCTTCTTTAATGTAGGCAGGGCCTCACCTGGACTAGTGGAGATGGAAGCCTCAAGGCAAAGCTACTGTCCAGTCTCATTAATAGCTCTCACCAAATAGGAGAGTGAGTCTTCATCCTGGCTTCCTATTCCCTTCATGTCTAACACTATGTGTTGGTAACCAGAGCTTGTGAGTGAGGACCTTGCAACCGCCCCTATGGATCCACCCTGTGTTCTTGCCAAAGCCACACTTCCCCTAAGCTACTCCCAGCTATAACTGAGCCAGCATGACTGTGGGACAAAGGACTCCTGCATCAGGAGATTTTGGCCTGATTCCCTGTCTCTTTTCCTTCCTCCTTTTCTTTCTCAGATGTCAGACCTGCAACATGGCTTTCCACACCTGCTTCTGTTTCCTCCTCTACATCCATGATAGGAATTGCCTATCTACTACCTTAATATCTGCCTCAAACTGACAGAGTCTCTACAAATCAAGGTGTTTTCTTCAGAAAATCAAGCAGAAATTGGAGAAGTTTTAAAAATATGCCTCATTCTATATCATGAGAAGAGTGGTAAAAGACTGGAAAAAAAATAAAAGAAGATAGGCTGAGGCTGAATGACAAATATTTTCTTAAAATTCATACTAGGTAGATATGAAACAAAAAAATAAGATCTTAAATACCAAGGGAAAGGGATAAAAGGGGGCTAAGGAGATGCATGCAGTTTCACTTCTCTGGATAAGGAATTAGAAAAGAAAAATGTATTTTTCATTGTTTGTCAATCTGAAAAATAGTGACTGCAACCCAGAGAAATCTATCAGAAGGGAGGTAAACTCTCAAAAACAAAATTGACATGAGCTCCTCAGAAGGAGCCAGGAAAATATTGTAAGATCTCTCTGTAAAGCTTTGGATAGAAAGTCGATAATCAGACCTAGTAGGGTAGTCATCTGTGCAAAGGGATTGCATAAAATGCTGGTATTATTGACAGGGTGGGGTAGATTAACGATGGCTACAAATTCTTTTCTACTTATTTTATAGACAGATGAATTCTAATTCCTTTTGCCTTAAATCTAGGCTTGTCTTAATGCCTTGCTTGACCAATAGAAGCCAGCATTTGGCAGAAGTGGTCTTAAGACTTCCAAGGCCAGGTCATAAAAAGCCTTGATTGAAACTTCCAGGCATCTTGGAATACTGTTTTGGGTGCCCTGATCTTCCATATCAGAAGTTTGATAACTCTGAGACTATCATGCTAGAAAACCAAAGTGTAGGATCCCTATCAATACCCTTGGCTAAGACCAGCCTTCCAGCCATCCCCTCCATGGCACCATACATGCAAGTGAATACTACTGTCTAGCACTCTTCAAGCTACCTGCCAGATGAATACCACATCTCTTGTTGTTGCATGGAATGGAAGAATCACTTATGCAAGCCCCATCCAAATTATTGACCCTTAAAATCATGAGATATAATAAAAGCAATTGCTGTTGGGTTTTTTTTAATGTTTTAATAATAGAGCTCAGAACACAGGAAAAGACTACAGAGACCAACATGAACTATTTGAAGGATTACTGGATAAACCAACTCAGGTGAAAGTTTATTGAAGTAGGGATGCAGTATTTCCTTTGTCCTAACAGAACTTGCTGGATAAATGCAGGAATTAGGACTCTGAGGGAAGCACAGAAAGATTGGATGTGCTGAAGAGAAGACAGACAAAACAATAATTATATCCAGGTTTAGATGAGCTATTGGTCAGATGGGAAAATACCTCCTAAGTGGGAATATCCAATTTAGGAACATAAATGTGGATAAGATCTCTTAGAACTAAAGTATTTTGACAGACCCAAAACTTAATTTCATTTCTCTCAATCAGGGAAATCTCAACATCTAGATTAGTTTGTTGGAAAAACAAAAGAATGTGTCAGAAAGCAAAGGGAAGTAAAAGCAGAAAAGTAGCTTAAATCCAGATGCTGCATTCACTCTGAGTTAGAAAAGGAAAAGACCAACATGAGAAGAAGAATAAATTGTTAGAAATTCAAATGAGTCTCTCTAAAAGGAACAGGGCATTAACAGAGAGAAAGAGAACACTGGAGGCAGAGTTCATTACTGAAAAAAAAAAATGTAGCAGAAAGAAATACTATTCAAAACTGGTATATTCAAAAGCTATAGGAAGATGCTATTCTGAGAAGCACATGGCAAAGGTACTGGCCCTCCTGGACTCAGAATTCAGGAACATCAAGAGTGGCCTCGGTTCAGGTATCTGCTGAGGATAATGTTAAAAGGCAGCAAGTGCAGAAACCAAATGAAAACCCTTCTCAGCTGATAGGGATCTTAAAGTTTAAGCAACCCTCTAGCAAGGGACAGGGACAACAGTCCTCCTGATACAGAATGAGAAGCACCTGTGTATCTTACATCAAAAGAATATTTTTTGTAATTTAACCCTAAAAACACTTTGAAAAATATATGAACCCTTGCACATTTTTAATTTTACAGCTAAATTTTTAATCATAAGTTTAAAAAGCAAAGTTGGAAAGAATGTAATTTCCAGAAATTGCAAATATTGATGTAAAATAAAACTATTACATCACTCTTTCAGATGTATTCGATAGGTTCTAAATACCAAAACAACTTGATATCTCATCATTCACACTTAAAAATACATGAATCATCTTTTTAGCATTCTGCATCTTCCATTAAATTTATATTCCCATTTCAGTTTTCCTTCAGAATTTAATGTTTTAA